TTACAAAACTTTCAAATTCTTTTGAGCATTCAGAGAATGTTTCGAGTATCGAACCAACGAGTCTCTTCAGTCGCACTCGCCACTCGCCGAACTGGAGAGTGTCAACTGCGCAGACTCAACAAACGGCGCTCTGGCGCTCATTCAGCTCGGGCAGAGCTAGTGGCAAGTGGCGCTGGCCTGAACAGCTGCCGGCCAAGTCACCTCAGACTGGGCGGCAGAGGAACGCAGGCGTTTGCTTAGCTGGGGTCAGAAGCTAAGCAGAATTGCTTGGGTCTCGCAGCAGCGTGGAAGGTCTGGCCGAGGTCGCAGCATTAAGTAAATGACGACTTCACCTGAACGTGGCCACGGTCTCTGTCTTTTGTTGCCACATGTATGCGTATATGTTTTAATGTTAGAACATAAAAAATTACCATAAATTGACAAACGTAAAAATATTAATAAAGCACGGTTGAGCACATAAACCTGATTGCGAGTCCATGTGCGTGCGTGGCACTTAAATTTTTATTGGCGCAAAGGATTTTGTTAAGCATGGAAAGCATTTCGAGGGCATGAAATATGCATGAGACGCTGTCTGTACCTGCGTACTGGACGGCAATTCAATTGCATTCGCATATCCCATTCAGCTGTCCAGCTGTCCACCTGTCCAGGCCAAAAGTCGGCGAGCCGTGAAAGCGGCTCAAAGGACAACATTTGCATCTGTTTGGCCCCGAGTATTTAAAACAAAAATTTACACACACACACACGGACACACACACACACACATGAACATTGCGGTCCAGCAACTTTATTAATAGTATTGTCATTGGGCTCTCTGCTTCTCGCATTCTGCGGCCTAGTACGTGCCCGAGCATAATTATGCACTCGTCGACATCCTTTTTCGAGGGCAACTGCCAAGGTCCGAAAACGAGAAAATACAATAATAAAACAACAACAAATTGCCAATCGGCGAGATAATAAAAGCACATAAATGCGAACAGCGTGCGCTGGCCAGCAGCAACAATATTTTAATTAACTTAATTAAGCCATTTTTATTTGCCACGGTCAGGTGTTAACGCTTGCACACACACACATGCACACATACATGCAGCATTGCACTGCATTGTTTGCGCTGTGGTGCTGCAGCTCCATACATAAAGCTTCATTCAGGACTCTGGATCAATGCTGCTTGCGATGAATAGAGCAGCATGCTCGACTAGCAGATACGCTGGTAAATCAGATATCATATATGGCTGGGTTCCCT